AATTATGTTCCAAATGTTAATTAAATTGTACATTAACGTAAATTCCACAATGAAAAACAATTCTTTTATTTTCAATATCATATTTATGCATTATAAAAGAGTAAAAATTACATGGAATAAATAACAATATTATTAATTACATCATTAAATTGTCTACTTAAGAGACAAAGAAACAGCAATTGCCTGTTGGTGTTTGTAGTAGAAATAATAATTGCTTAGTTATCTTAAATAATAGATATAGTAAATATATAGTAGCATAGTAGATTTAAGGCTTTCGCGGCCCGAAGCATAATTATTATTAAGGCTTTCGGGTGTAAGCCGTGTCCTTATGGAAAAAGTATTCCAACGTTTCATAAGCATTGCAGCTCACTTCATCAGGGTTCGTGAAACACACTGATAATGAACGTCGGAATACTTTTTCCATAAGGACACGACTTACACCCAAAAGCCTCAATAATAAATAGCATAGTATGTTACAGTAGAATAGTAAACGTGTAGTAATATAGTGAGCGCACAGTAGTACAGTAAGCGTATAGTAGTACCTGTATAGTATACGTGTAATTGTTACGTGACCGTCAGTCACGTAACGTATTATACAATATTATACAATTATAGTACAATGTATAACGTATAATAGATGATAAAAAGTTAAAGTTATAACACAGATGTTTTCACTCAAAATAACTATAACCATGGGAAAGTCGCACAAGCTCGTGAAATGTTTACCTTTTTTCAGTCGATTGCGATTCTAATTTATAGATAAATCTCGTCTGGTCATGAGGAGAAACTCTTGTAGTCTCACATGGACGACTTTCTATGGGGTTTGAGATTTATAACCCTTTTGACGCCTATTCTAATATTGACCAAGCTGCCGGATGAACGAAATAGGAGATGAGCTACGTTTTTCAATGAAACGAACTTCGACAACACGTCAAAGAATTTCTAGAGTGTTTCAGAGGGACAAATTTCGCATCAGAGTCAATTGTACTCTCCGGTGAACAACGCGCGCACATGTGAATCATTTATTTATGGTGATTTTTAATTGATTTAAACGAGCAAGTACCTTGCTGCTATTTTTATGCAAAAATTGCAGTTCTGATAGAAAATGTAGTATATTGGAACTTTAATAGTGGCTCTAAAATGTTAAGAAATTAAAATATTTGTTGTATTATTTGAGGAATTACTTATAGTCGAATATATTCACAAAAGTAGAGATATTGAAAAATTTCTTAAATTGCTACGATAGACTATTTTAACATACTTTGACATAAAATGATTTTAAAGTTTAAAATGTTGTGTAAAAAAAAGAATACTGTTTAATGGGACATTCAAATTACTCCGAAATAAATGTATCTAATAATAACGAAAGAGACGCTTCAAGTGCAAAAAGCGATACATCGTGAAAATGATCAATAAGAAAGTAACTCTCAAACCTTCGAAGATCTTTAAAGTGTAATGAAGGGCTTCACGCCCTAAAACTGCTTGTAACTTTTGTCGAACTTTCCCGAAACTTTTACCCGAGCATCGTTTGTATTTTTTAAATATTCAAAACATAGGTCCAGCGAACCTTCCATCAAACTTTTCTCCACTCTGATATCATAGACCTTTCACTTTTTATTCTTATTTCCTGTGAAGCTGAAAATGGAACCAGAGAATTCTGAAGTACGTTGTTAAATTATGTACTGCAAATTATTCTGCTTTAACTTGGGAATTCTTTCGTAAGAAGGTAATAATACCATTATTTTTGGTCAAACTATAATTGCATCTTTTCATAAGAATATTCCGAACAACTTTTTTCACGTTTTTCTTTAAGTTCGAAATTAAAATTCTATCTTACTTAAACTTTAATTAACATTGTTCTTCTCCTTCACAGGTCTCTGAACATTCAAATAAATGAATGTCAAAATATATTAAAATAATTTACTGTAGCAATTAAAACAAAACACCTCTACTTTCATTAAAGTATTCAACTATAGTAATTTCTCAAATAATACAAAAAATATTTTAATTCTTTAAAATTTTGAGGTCATTATTTTTGAGGTCACTTTAGCTTAAGGTAACACAGGTATTCAAATTGAATTAAACTTAACTTAACTCAAAACAAAACAAAACAAGTTCAATAAACTAAATCATAATTAAATCAAGTTGAGTCAAATTAAATGAACTTGAATCAAACTGTATTATCCATTCACCTTTCTGTATAATTGTCCGTAGAATTCACCTTGTCCCCCTGGAACCTCACCAGATCCAACCCATCAAAGATAGGTATGATGTCATCAGCTAGAAGAGAATCTAAGGCAGCCAACGCGTGCTCCTGCACGCACTTCCGAAAATTTTCCAGAAATTCATCCTGTCCAAAGTTGTTCCACGAGTCTAGCGGACAATTCTTGAGAATTGTATGCAGGCTTGTGTACCATTTCGACTTGCCGTCGCATCCAGCGTCACCGGCTGCGAGGAGCATGAGCGCGAACACGTAGAATACACGCCGGTGCATCTGCATTCAGATGGACATCCGGTCATAACATAATCAGCGATAAAACTTGTCACTCGAGACTTGACTAAGCTGAAAAGCTTTATTCCAATCAGTGTTCATATTGCTTCTATTATAACTACCATAAAAGTGCTTTTCGAAATGGCAAAATACATCAGGATAACGTTACAATTTTACTGACTACACATTTATCTATGGGTCAGTGTTGCTATTTATGCATCTCAAGAGATTCAACGATACTCTCGTGTATTTTGTATATTTTGATATGGTATAATTTAGTTATAATATTTAATTTTTATCTTATTTCTATGAACAATTTGTACTATTTAAAGATAAAAAAATTATAGAATATTCAATTTTTCAGACAATTTGAGCAATTTTGAAGGTACAGAGTAAAATGGTGAAAAGTGTACTACAAGCATCACAAGGGCCTCTGTGAATCATATTATGCGACACAAAATAAATTTCGATCGGTCCATTAGCAGAGAATAATTTAAGGTGATCACGTTACGTGGTTCACTCTACTTGCTTCTCTTGAAAATTACTTCTTTTTTTAATTCCAAAACCTCAAAAAAGCGCCTCAGTTAAGCTTCTTTGTCCACTGGATAATATTACCTCGAAACACGAGCACACCACTGGAGAGACGTTCTCCAAATCAATCGCGATTGACTGTAAACGTTCGATCGTAGCTATATGAAGATTTATACGTACAGGAAATAGGCTAAGATGTCGGCCAAGTGATCATTTAGATTCATCGAAGGGCAACAGGGTAGCGGTCAAAAGGCGGCGCTTTTTATGCTCTAGCAAGCCTGGTCTGTAATCATCAATGGACTCCAGTCGGATTGCATGACTGACACTCACCACTCGTCAGCCCATGAATTGTTCTTTCAACTGATCAGTAAAACTATGAACGCTGATTGAATCAAATCCACAACAAAAATGCACAATGAACAAAAATTTGTTTAGATATTAACAAAATAATTTGAAATTGAAAAGAAATTTGATCATATATTGCATATGAATCGTAACTGATAACTATTAGGTTATTCCATAAGTTCATGCTGAATTTTATCCCGAAATTTATGAAAAAAATATAAAAAAATAATAGTCGCATCGTTCCGCAACTTTTTTCCACTTTTTTGATAGAGCTATAATGTTTTGGATTTTCATTAAAATATTTTTCGTTTTCGAGACGAACTTATCAGATAGTGTAATACAAATAATTAAGAAATACCTATTTTATTAGTTTAAAGTATACTTTTATTTCGTCCATTTTTGTTTCCTTTTAATCTTAAATTGCAATAGAATAGCTATAAAGTAATATTTAAAAGAATATCTACATCCCAAATCTGTTAGTACCTGAAAAACTGCATTCTATGAATTACTGCACGAAGCACTATATGAATAGTTACAATTTTCTTCTCAAATGATGTACCTTCGGTGCATGTTGCATTTCCAGTCCGGAAATTAATGCTCAAGCGCAAAAATGGCTAACTATAAATTTGTATTCCACGACAAATTATAGTACGCGAATACTTTATAGCATAGATCTGCGAAGTTTGCGGTATATCTTCCTTTAAATGTTATATTGTGTAAGAGTAAGGAAATGGAAGAGGAAATAATACTAGTTTTTTCTTTTTCTTTTATTTACAGCTCACGTAAGATAAAGTTTCCAGATTTATTAATTGTCAATGCTATATATAATATAATGTTTAACAGTTAAAACTTCCAATCGCGAAATACGAAATACATCTGCCTTACGAAGTCGATTAACCTAACCTATACCTCTTAAACCGTTAGCTTCATCCTTCGCGACTAAAAAAAGCGCCTGTCTAGCGAAATAATAGAATTTCTTTCTCTTCTATCTATATATGTTTCTCGATTGACTGAAAAGGAGGAAATATATCACATACTGCAGTAAAAAAATAGCACAGAATTCATTAAAAATATAAGGTAAAATTGTATTTAATGTAAAAGTGTATAAATCATAGTAATAAATCACACTAGGCTATAAAAGAAACCGGTCCAACGATCCTTCAGCAAGATTATATTGCACGAAAATGCAAATCTCGTCTATATTCTACAAATTCAACATTCTAACCTCTAAAGAGACAGAGTAATGCTTCAAACCCTCGTTTCTCGAGAACTACCTCATATAAAAAATAAACAAGAACGAGAAAAAACGAGAAGTATCCTGCTATGAATATTTCATATAAAAAATAAACAAGGAACTGTTTATTTCTTATTTAATCTTGAGTTACCATACTCTTTGATGCATAAAATGTTAAAAAAGTCTTTCCACAGTAAGATTATCTCTTGACTTGAGATCGATGAATACACTGCGTAGAATTTTTCTGATAGCATGCAATAATTGATGGAACAAATATACTAAATTTCTGCTGGTCATAGCGCCATAATACTCTTATTGTACTTGTCCCACCAATTATACACTCTTGCTCACCATAAAAAAGTATTCAGTCTTTCGAAAAACAACACTCAGTCCCTGTTCTCCTTGCATCTTACAAATATACGACTCGTCATTGTCAGCTGCATATCGAATAATTGTCTTCAACTATGGTATCACGGTCTTCATGAGTGTTTCCCTCTGCATTCTTCACCCCTTTAAGACGATACTTATTTCTAGGCATGCCAGAGCTGATGCACAACTTGAGAAGAGCCCATTCCTCTTCACTGAGGGAGCTCACCGAGCTGTGTCTAGAAAGCACCACATTAGACTTTATAGTGCTTCGACAGGATTCATCATCATCATTGTCTGTACCATTAGAAATCGGGGACCTGCAATTTGGAATCTCAGAGCGAGAGACGCTCAGAATATTCTCGTTTATGCTATTATGCTCATGCTCTGGCTGGGAAAACTTTCTACTGTATGAAGCCAAGGAACTTGTCCTTTCATAAGCATGATGGATTCCGCCATTCTTGACAATATGCCTTCGATTCTCTTGGACCTTTGCAGAGTGATAGGTACAAGAGGAGGCTCCATGGAGATGTATATCATTCTCTACGGGTTTATGCGATGGTGGTTGCGTTTGCGCCAAAGTATTTCTGGTAAAATAAGGTTTATTCATATAAGAGGACGAACTACCACTGGCAGCGTTTCGAATTTTGGAATACTGTTCTGGTTGCTTCTTTGTGGAGACTAAGGATGTATTTGATGAAACATTCAATGCCTAAAAATAATTGTACTGAAGCAATAGAATACAATAATACAAAATTATATTCTTACCTTTGGCATACCAGACTTGATACACTCGCTGAGGATAGCTTCATCATCAGAGTGATTAGGGCTATCATCAGAGAGGTCATTCTCATGCTCTAAAGTGACACGAGACATAGGTTTACGAAGAATAGGGTTTTTATTGCCACTTTCTACAGGGGACGATGACGGAGTGCCACATATATTGAATCTTTGCGTTAGAATCTCCGTCTTTGGAACAAAGGGCATGCAAGTGGCTGGTGGTGGTGTTATCTGTCGAATCTGAAATGAAAGAAGCATAAGTCAGTACAGAAAATTTCTAATAATTTAATTAACTACCTTTGGTATTCCAGATTGAATACACTCATCCAGAATTTTCTCATCTTCCCTTGACAAGTTAGAACTCTCGTCTGAGAGATCATTTCTGTGACATTCAACTTCACTCGAAATCTTGATTTCCTCGATTCTCTCCACGTCTTCTTGGACGCTTGGCATGGACAAGGCTGAAAGATTTGACTGTGAACCCACTGGAGAGATATCAGCAGGTGTACCTTCTGTGCAGTATACATGCACAGTGTCTGGTGCAGCAACGACTTCTATTGCAGGTTTAGTTGGCTTGGACGTTGTCGCTGGAGTATCTACAGAAATGACAGTAACAGGAACTGAAGGTTCCAGTCTATTTAAGACAGGTGTTCTCTGACAGCGTGCCATCATGTTGGATGATTCAGGTTGCATGGATTTTTGGACAGTAGATGTTTTAAAAGATTGTCTATATCTAGAATATATTCACAAGAATTAATATCTTCAAAAAATTGTAGTTTTAAATAGGTATCAATATACCTATTATTTTGTATGCCCATGCTAATGCACGCTGCGAGCATATCTTCGTCATCCTCATCACCATCACTCACTTGTTCCTGATCTTTTTCAACTTCAACATTATTGGTCTTTTCCTCTACAGAATTTACTTTAATGTTTTTATCTAAGTCATTCGAGGTTTCCTTTAATTCGTTCTGAGGTTTGGGAGCGGTAGGGATCTTCACCTCGTCGTCAATAGTAAGGGAACTCAAACTGGTAGCTGTAGAAAATTTAATAGGAGTTGATTCCTCATTAAACGTAGCGATGTCGTCTTCGAAAACGCTAGTCCTTGGTGGATGACACTTAGAATATGCTGAAAAAAGACTATATAAGTTACTGAAATTGAAACATTTTTTAAATGAAAAATGTTATAATTTTCACTATTATTATCTCTTTCACTGACGATCAATAGCATTGCATACATAAATGTCGAACCGTCGGTCTTACTGCTTCTTCTGGGATTTTGCTTATGAAATCTGCGCATTGATTCTTGTGATTACGCGGACTTGGTGGAATAGTCTGTGTAGGTGAATCAGGTAATTCACTTGGAGACACAGCACCACTGGTTCTACGGCTATTTGAAATTGAATTAAATTTAATTGTCATTTATTCATTTTAAAAATCTCAAAATTACCTAAAATCACTGATAATAGAACTGCGATCGTCGTGTATAGAATGTTGTTCAAAGCCACTCAGTGAACTGAGGGAACTAGAAGGTGAGAACATTAAAGGAGTTTGTTCAGGATAGTAATCATGTCTGCTGAATGTAACCATTTTGCCTGAAACAATAAATACAATAAATACCAGCATGATGTTCTATAATACTCAGAAATATTTTAACAAACCTTCTTTGTCCACAACTCTAGAATTACTTTTCCCTTCTGTGGGGCTATCAGATCCATCTGGTATACGTGATACATTAACATTAGAATTAGCTACAGTACGATCAGCCTTCTCTGACACATTATCTATTTTGTCAGAAGAGTCTGTACAAGGTATTTTAGCAATAATCCCAGTAATATGGTTCCTCTGTGTTATTGCACTACCAAGGGAACTAGCATGGGAGAAGCCATCACTTGTCCCTGGTTGGTAATAGTTAAGCAATTTCTCAGGGGAAAGACAGGGAGGTTTACTTGTCTCTGAAGCTTTGGATGTTTCTAATTCCTTTTCAGCAAGAAGTGAACGGTCCTCATTGCAATGAAGAGACAATGTGCGTTCATAATTTATATCTTCCTTACGACCATGAACTTTTTTATTCAGCTTTTTCTGAGAATCCACAGGTTCCTTTGCATCTTCAAGACGCAAGTCAGACATAGAAGTTGCTGTTGAGAAATTAAAAGGTGTCTCATATGGGGTTCCTTCTGTACAGTACGTCTTCACAGTATCTTCCTGTACACTTCCTGGAAAATACTCAGGACTCTGTTTCTCATCCTCGGCATATCTTAAACTGTAATCTGTTGGTTGATCAAGATCAGTTTCAGCATAATCTCCAAACAAATCTACTTTCGAGTCGCGTTCTCCAAATTCCTTCTCACAAGATTGGTCAGTTCGAGGGGAATTTTCAATTGAGCGATTTTCCATTACCGTTTTTCTTTCACTGTATTTTTTACTATAATCTATCGGTTGTTCGGTCACTTCATCTTCGAACCTCTGCCCGGTACTTCTCTCCATAGTAATCAATTTTGTCATCCTATTTTTTCTATCGCAAATTTCCCCCCTTGTTGCATCCACGATTGTATCAATCGATTAGTAAAGAAATACAGAATTAAAATGCGAATAAGTACCGTCGAACTGCCTTTCCACAGGTTACTGGTTAATTATTGTAACCATTATCGGTTACACTCACATCAACTTTAATTACCTCGCACCATGTACCAAAGTAGATCGTAAGGTCGACATCCTGTCGTATTAAATGCCGAAGTGTCGATTGCAGCGCAATCTAGAGATGTTAGGAGAACTAAATAAATACACACAAAACTGTAATCTGCGTGATCATTTAATGAAAGATAAAAAAACTTGGATTTTTTGCAAGATAGCTACATTATATACGTGTATTATTCGGTAAATGTAAACAAAATGTATTTCGGAATAAAATTATGAAAATAATTATTTTTAAACATCATTAAAAATGTATTGGTTAATGTATGAAAACATCATAAGAAAATTTAGATAGCGGACGCGTTTTCGATTTCGATGCTTTTTAAATATGTTATAGAAATTAACATTTTGAACAACTTTTTCCTATACATGTAACCGCCGAATGATAGCTAATCCAAATAAAAGATAAGAGTTAGGTTTGGATTAGCATATTGTATCCAGTCGCCGGCAACCAGAAACTAACGCATACGCTGTTATAGACGCAAAATTATAGGTAGAATTCACCGTTTAGTAATGGTACTTTTTCAGGAATATCACAAAAACTAAGAGATTTCGACGGTTATATGCATAGGAAAAAGTTGCTCAAAATGTTGAGCTTTTCAATATATTTAAAAAACATCGGAATCGAAAACACGTCCGTTTTCTAAATAATTACCATTAATTTTTTCATTTATTTTGAGAAATATCATACAAAATAGTATAAAGTAAGATGAGAGAGGATTTTCTTAAAGAAAAAAATAAATGCAGTGCAAAATGTTCTCAAAAAGTACTCTATGGATTTATTTTAATACTTCTAAATTGAATCAGTTGAAATATAGACAAACATCTTTTACAAATATTGTAAAAAGAATAGTCACAGGCTGTGTTCAATGGCCTTCCTCTTATCGTAATGCTCCTTATTGTCATACAGTTTAACCTCTTCCTCTTCCTGCTTGAGATCCCCCAGGTTGATTCTGTTGATTTAGCCAAGGAGCAGAACCAGTGCCTCTGCCTCTTTGATTCTGACCTCTGCCTCTTCCACGAGCTAAAACAGGTTAACCAATCCATAATAAACAAATGAAACAATTAAATACTTGGTATAATATCGATAAAATGGTACATTTTATTGATCTTAACATGAATATTTCATAAGATTAAAACATCTCATAAATAAACCTTGAGCGCGTAAAATTGCAGATTTTCCTCTGCCAGCAGTTCCCGATCCTTTCCCTCCAGGTCTCTTAAACATTGGTGCATTCTTCAACATATCTGGTAATATAAGAAACCTGATTTTCGACCCTCTAATATAAACATTTTCTAATGGTGCCTCTCGACCGTCCCTATAAGTCACCGTGATATTTTGCATTTGACAGTTCATATTGTCCTCGGCTTCTATTAGTTTACCGCGGTACACTTCACCGGTGTTTGTTTCACAGGTTATGGTATGACCTTCCGCTTCGTGAAGTACTTTTATTGGTACCCCAATTGACATTTTGACCAATTTTTGCGATAACCCAAATAATCCGCTCGAATTTTACCTTAATTAATTTAAAAATCTGAGACTTTTTTGATTAGAAACCTTTAAAAATATAGAAAATTATAAACACACGCAATAACCTTACTTCCAATGTGTCTAAAACTTAAACATTACTCATTAAAAATAGAAATTAGAAGCGTTCAGGCTGATTTTATTAAAATAACGCAAAAAAACCAATCACTTCCATAACCTTATTTGGTGTTTTTTGATCATGAAAAAAACTCATACAGCTCTATTTTCTATTTTCAAATAATCGTATATTTATTGGTCATTATCTATAGAGTGCTACCAACTTTGTGATAACACATTTCAGAGTAATCGTACTCAAACTATAATTTTACACATAATTTGACTAAGAAGAAAATTATTTCATGCCTCCTACGTGCCTTATTGTCCTAAGATTGCATCACTTTCATTTTAATAGCTAATAATTCGCCCTAAAAAATTATTACTAATTTATTCGATTAGTAAGCTACACCAATCATCGATTTGATCGATCAGAAAAAAACATGGCGGACTCGTTTTTCAAACAATTCGATGCAACTTCGGGAAGCGAGGTCACGCCAAATAACTCTATCTGCCGTATTATTTTCAGGGCGGTAAATTTTTATATATTTTATCTGTTAAATATACATAAATATATAATCCACTATAATTGTAAACGGTCAAGAGAACCATCGGGAGAGAGATTGATGCACGATCAAGAGAGATTTATTGCAATTTCAAGGAGGTACGTGGAAACGAAAGTAGAGGGGTATGCACGGGGATTCATAAACATAGAAACGAATAATACATCAAGTTAATATTGTTTCTTTTTCTCCACCTACGAAAGAACCTAAGAGATATTATCTAAAAAGCGGTCTGTCAAAAGGATGGTAAAATCGAGATGATATTTAATATATTAAAGTCGACGTTACTTCTTCTCCTTTTAATCGCTTAAACATACTAATATCAATCATTTAGTAATTACAAGCATCGTTACGTCCTTAATATAGTGAGCCGAGCATGAATCACATCGCTGTTCTATCTGTCATTTACCCTTTTTTTGTTCTCGAAAATTACTTTCTTTTCCTTCCATTCACTCTACTCGTTCACACTTTCTGTCTCTCTCTGACGCTCTCTGTCTACGCACGTGTCCTTTCTGTCACTGCCGTGCGTATAGGCAAGATTCTAACTCTCGATATCGCGTTATATCTTAGAAAAATATGCTATGCCTAAAATAGGATGAAGGCCGAAAGGCAACCGTTTCGTCAATATTATTGATAATCGGTGTGCGTACCTCCTTTATACGTCACTTCAAATCTACCTGACGCTCTTTCTGTAAAAAAACTGCGCAACGAATTTCAAGTAAAGCAGGCTTTTTGTTTGACACAATTGATTTTTTTTTTCTGTCGCGAAAAATGTTAAATAATAATCGTATGATTTCAATACATGCATGTAATAATAATAACAATAACATTTTTAATCGTTTATTATTATTTTTAAAGGGATGTGAAACATGTAATTTCCCTTTGTAAATGGCATTACATCGAAACGATTTATCAATGTGATCGACCGAAGATAATGGAAATAAATTCGATATCCAAAGATTTCGCGCCATTTATAAAAAGAAAGATACCGTGAAGAAAGCAAAAACAACGAAATGTGTAGTGTCAACAAATGTGATTATCTTTATCTCTTGTTATATTGAAACAATACGATTTTTATTTATATAACATTTCTTTGTTTCTCATTACGACGATTACAAAAATTGAAAAATTGTGACGACCGATAAAGTCTCACTCTGTACAGATAATAATATGTTGTCCATAGCATTACTTATTTCAGTGTGTATGATGTGTGTTGCTATGTATGCACATGTACGTGTGTTGTTCTGTGAAAACACGGCAAATATAGAGTATATAGTAAAGTTCTATCATGAATAGAATCACTTCTCCAGATTTCTCCAAAAGTACACAATTATTCACTATATAAAATGAGGACCATCGATAACGTGGCACTGAAATTAAGAACAATTCATCACTTTATTCTATTTAACGTAATCAATACAAGGACTTCTTTCTCTTTGTATCTTAGAAGACGATCTCGTTTTCGCTATATCGACTGTCACGCGAAAGTTCAAAAGACGAAGGATCGATAATCGATTAGAAAAGAAAAGAAAAAAAAAGGAAAAACAATGAAACGCAAGTAATCTCGAAGACAGCAAACATGGTGATACGATACACAGTGCGGTATTTTCGTTTTGTCTCTCTCTCTCTTTCTCTCCTCTCCTCTCCTCCTCTCCCTTCCCGTCCTTCTCACATTCATACTCACTCGTTCTCTCTTCTTTCTCTCTATCGTTCTTTTAAAATCGCAAAAGACCCACAGTGACGACTATCGATTCTCGCACGCTCGGAAGAAGACAACGATACGTGGGAAAAGCAACTCTTGTTTAAAAAGAAAAGAACTCACGAAGCAATAAAGATTTCTTTTTTTTTTTTATACAACATACTCCGTGCAATAACAGTTTTTTTTGTCGTTTTCGTTTTTAGCATAGAAGCGACACAAAACTCAACAGCTACGGGAACTCCCCCCTCTCTCTTCCTCTTTCTTTGTCCTCTACACGAGCTAGCCTAAGAAGAGTCAAAAGAGACACGCTGAACAAAAAAACTGAAACTGTACTTTTTTTCGTGTTTTTCCTCGTTTCGTTAAAAAGTATATTGCAACACGGAAGAAAATGGTTAAAGACAGACAGACGGAGAATATTTCTGTTTCTTTGATCGATCCGTACAACAGGGCAATAATCGTCCCTTCGTCGAGGGGCCTCTCGTTCGTTACTGTGATTCTTTTTTCCCTTTGTTCACAGAATATATATCTGGCTGGCCGTTTTTGACGTTTCATCGTACAAAGTGTATTTTAGCACCAATATACATATAAAAATTATTATTTTGGTGGGAAAAAAAAAACCGACTGTGGACGAATCACATGACACAACCTCTACTAATTCTCCTAATTGAAAATCGTTTCAAGGAATTAGGCTAAAAAATATTTTACAGGTCAACAACCATACTTAAATGTATCGTTTAGTTTTAGTTTTTCTTCTTGCGGAGATTCGTGAACGCGTGGCGTAAATAATCAATGATTTGCAATATAGTTTGAAACATATTTTAATGAGGAATAATGCTTGGTTATATTCACGTGAAATTGGACATAAACACACAGTACTACTTATACTTCATTGCATTATTTATGAATCAATAGACTAATATACTTAATAATTATTAGACTAATCGTTAACCTAGGATTTGTGATCATCCATCAACGTCAGCCACTACCTAAGCAACATTCCCTTTTTTTCATTTTTTTCGATATGCGAACGAAACAGAAATCTCCCTCCCTCACGCTCAATCTCTCTGTCGATTACGAAACTGGAACTCCCGATGAGACGTCTCTTTTGGACAAGACAGACCGCACCAAGAATTCATATTTTTCGCTAAAGTTTAGTTTAGTTTAGTTTGAGAAAAAAAAAAAAACAAACTTCCGTACGCGAATTTTGCATTCTTCTCGTTTTTTCTTTAAGTAAATTAATAAACATAAGAAGATAGAGTAATAATAAACCGTAATAATTGTAGATAATAAAGGTAGTAGTAGTAGTAAACTGGCAGCAGTTAGAACCAAATATATTCTCGATTTTCTTTTTTAAAACTCTCGTTAGATAACAATCTGACATGGCACTGACATCCAAAAATTTTTCCTGAAGCATTCGTACACTCGGCACGCACTCTAATTTCTGCTTGTTTGTTTGTTTTTTTCTTTCCTTGCTTATTGTGTAACCATTTTTTTTTTCCATCATTTCATCCTTCCATGGAAATTTCATGTGTTCTCTGGCATTTCTATATATTATTTTTCACGTATCGTGTACAAACCAATATTTTATTTATTTTTCTCTCTAATTCTCATTCTCTCCCTTTTCCTCTCCACAACCGTCATATAACCATACTTTCATTCTTGTTCGCTCTAACACTCTTGCTACGATTTCTTTCTCTCCCTCACTCTCTCTCTTTCACGCATCATACAACACTTTTCCCCGCTCCCTTTCGTTCACGATTTTCACATTCATCCGTATTTTTAATTCGCCCCTCGACGTGCAATCAGCTGCCAGATAATTTATCTCGTTTTTTCTCCGTTTTTTTTAATATTCTGTTTGTTTATATAGTTATATAACCATTTTCCCAACGACTACGCACTAAATAGTTCAAATTTTTTGCACTTTTTCACCAACAACAACTGGATTGTTGCGCCGAATCTCTTGAGCGCCCATTTCTCTGTAATTGAACTTGCAATCGTGCTTGTCACTGTATCGATGCACAGAGCAGAATAGTCCTCCACAACGGCACTCGAATCCTACGAAAAATAAACACAATAAAGGTTAGTGAACTCAAAAGGGGGTGAACATATTTCACTCATGGTTCACTTACCCGTCAAACCAACTTTTTTGCGACACACGGCGCAACGATTTTTCTTCTTCTTGGATTCTTTGTCAGTCTCTTTGCCATCAAAGCAGTCATCTGCATCTCCACTACTCACAGATCCTTCTGCTACCGCTCCACTGCTTACGCCTACTTCACTTTCTTGATCTTCCCTATTTATCTGGTGTGTAACAGAAACAGTAAGTTCAAGATTAATCTAAAGGAATTTCACTGGACCACTTGATTTCATTACTTCCTTGATTTACCAGTAACATCTGAATTAATATTGTAATAGTAGTAAAACTTTAGTAGAAATATACTAAATATTTAATGACATTTTAATTGCACCTAAAAAGCAATTAATGTAACTCAAAGTAAAATTTCCTTATATAATAAAAATTCATTAATATTTAATAATTACAGGTGTTTCTTTATGTATGCTTTAGAAATTTGGTACCTGAATTAAAAGATTCCAGAAGGCAGCACACCATAGCCAAAATGTAGTACAAAAAGGAAATTCTCTTTTATGTTCATAATGCAAATACAGAAATACATAAATTATAACTTTAGGACTACTTAAACCTTATCTGCAGTCCAATGCAATTGGTCTATTTCAATAAATGACTTATTAGATATTTGTAAACTATGTGAACAAAGAAATTCATTTTATAAGCTCTAATTCTTGTGATTGTCAGATATAATTATTATTTTCTAATGTTTACATTTAAAGTAACAAAGAGTGCATTAAAATATTTATAGATTAAATATGCGTAAACATAATTTAAATATGACTTACTTCTTTGGGGTTGGGCAGATCTGTCGTTGGTTGAGGTATGGTAGGAATGGTAGGTTGGGCTGTAGTTCCTGTAGCTGCAGGACTACCAAAACCGCCTTGCAACGTGCCAGCGTTACCAGAGACGGTCTGTGATGTTGGTACAGTGGCAGCTGACACAGGAGGTTGCTGCTTCTTTTTTAGGTTTTCTTTGTAACAAAGAGAACAAAGGCCATCTGTGGCTGGAGAGCCATAGAATCCACAGCCGCTGCGACACAGAGCTTGCATAGGATTAGACTCTCGTTCCATCTTGTCTGTTTATTCCAGTAAAACTTTGATGATCAAACAAGTCCTTAGTTATATCCTATTTTGCAATCACTCAAAATTCTATCGAGCAGTTGCAGTCAGCTAAACGGCAGATAATTAAGTGTCTCTTGCCACAGCTTGCTCTCCAGTTGCTCCTTCACGACCGCGTGTCACCATATATTCACCTATCAAAAGCATCTATGTTTAGCATTTCTTTGTTCTCGTACAACAAGAAACAACAATTCACAAATACTGCTACACATGCAATGTTAACTTTAAAATTTATCAAAAAAATAAAAATAAATAAATAATTATTACGTAGATTGACAATAAGCACTACAATATATACATTGAACAAAACTTTTATCCTTGCAAGCTTGTTGCACCATGACAAAGCACAAAGGTTTAATTTTAGGAAACTCTTGCACAGACTATATTTTATCCTTCACTAATTATTTAATTAACAAAAATGTCGTGCCCGACGCAACGGATCTTAAACATAGTTTAAAGGGGCAAGGAAAACGTAGAAATCATTACACCATAGCAGACACTATACTAAACGAGAAACACCGACGTCGGGAGGATCACGAATTTTCATGTCGAAAATTTTCACTTGCACACGCGCGCGCGCACACAATAAACGGAGTCTATACATAGACTAGAGAAATCGTCAGCAGCAGCAACAGCAACGATATCTTAAGACAAGGGCCGTTCCCTCGTGCAGTTCGCGAGAAAGAGAGAGACGGAGAACGCAATTCCTCCAAGGGCAAATAAAACTGAGGAAATCAGTAAACGAGGAGGAAACAATCGACGGGGAACGGTGGAAAAGAAAGAGGGTTGGAATTTTCGATGCGTCGCCACGACTGATTTTCACGTTTGCGACGCAATAGTATCGGAATGGAAGAGGCGTGATCGGGGGGAAACGTGATATTACTCACTTTCCAACACGCAGTCGTGTCGCAAGCAACGCACAACATGGAGTAAGAATTCGTTCGAGGCATTTAAGTGGGCTCCGTCTATCCTTATCTCGCACGTCAGACACGACCGATGGCCGACCGTCGGTCGGGGGAGGTCTTTCCTTTTGACCAGTTCCTTCGCTTCGTGTGAATCTCGGCGGCGCAATTCGCGCTGGGCCACTCACGAAGTTCGTGTTCTCGCTTTGTCTCTTCGCAGAGCGGAGACTAAAACGAAACGTTACCAAATCTCTCTCTCTCTCTCTCTCTCTCTCTCTCTCTCTCGCTCTCTCTCTCTCACACACACTCTCTCACACACACACACACTCTCTCTCTCACACACACACTCTCTCTCTCACTCACTCACTCTATATCTTTCTCTCGCTCTTTGTGTGTGCAACTTCGCGCTCGAGCGCTCGATATTACTTCAATCCGAGGAACCTGCAAGGACGGAGGAGAAACAACGATAACGACGACGACGGCCGAATGTTTTCATGATGGCGATCGTATAAACGTGCAGCCTCTGGGCGGACGTACAACCGACGACGCACGGCCGCCCGCGATAAGGTTAGGTATCGTAAGCCGTAATTTTCACCGAACTTCGCCTTCTACCCCACACAAATATTCAGAAATTATTCATTATATCCAATTATCTAATTTTTCACTATTCTTTCGTTCAACGCGTTGGATATACACGGTTAATGAATAAATACTGGGTTTGGAGATTTGATGAAGCCTCTAGAGAATACTTGAATTTCCGCCACTTATTTTCGTCGCTCTTTTTCTCCCTCTTTCTCGGGTACCTACGTATTACGCGACTCGCTCGTTCCCTCTCCCCCTTCCACGCCTGCGCAAAAGCACGAGCCTTCCCTCTGTGTCATGTTTTTCTCTGCCCAGCTTTTGCAATTTTTCTTTTTCTTAATTTGCTTGATAATAAGCAGAATTTTTCGCACATGGAAAATTAATACGCAATTGTAACAGGATATGTTGATACAAAGTAATAGGTAATATACTATGTGGAAATATGTTTTATTTCGTATTTCACGAACGAATCAGCAGATATAGCGTGATCTCCCAATGCTACGTAATGTAATAATACTAAAGCTACGTTTGCTGTTTGATGTACGCCGATGATGGCGAAATGAAAGGCCGCTTTCTTTGTTCCTTTCTTTAATTATATCCTCGGAGATATTCCAATTCTAATATCCATAGTACATTCGTTTAATGTTATGTTTTTATAGTCCTTCAAGTGTAACGGAGAATTATAAAGAACAACTATCAAATGTAAATTCCATCGGGGCAACCGTATCTCGCGCCTTGCTGAACATTAAAGGCGCATTTTCACTTTCTCTCGTATATCATTCAGCAACAGAGATTTTGCCAAGTAAATAATACTAAAGAAAATTTTAAATAAAACTTGTTCGCATTAAATGGAATAAATATTAATTAATTTCAATGAATATATTGAATGAAAATTTGTTTGAATTAAAGAAAAAAACACTCGATAACAAATATTTGACGAAAATCATCAGTGGGATTCAAACGAAGCATGGAAAAATCTCGCTGATTTCTAATTAAAAGTACTCCATAAATAATGACTAGCACAGTGTTTCGGTGAAAATCCGCCGTAGTGAAAGGGTTAAAGCACGAACTGAACGGGATTTAAATCCGTTATTTCTTCGGAACCCGTGACGTCATTGTAGTATAATTGAGAACCAAATCGAACGCCAATCAGATGGTAGGAAGTCCTTGCAGAGAAGAAAAGATAAATAAAGGAGAATTTCCTGTTTAGTCACAATCGAAGTTTAAATTCTAGTGGCAGATTTTTCTTTGTCAATCTTTGCATACTAAAACCTTATTACATGACTTTAATTTATTATTTAAAATTATAAATTTTCGGTGCTTGACAACATATGAATCACAGACGAGGTATAGGATAGATCTTGCACCTAATGCATTTTTGTGTCCAATGTTCTGAAATACCGATCGTGTAAAAAAATCTGAGTTTTTATTATGCCCTCTACTATATAAAGCGGTAAGTTCAAGAATGACAAACAATCCACCATCAAAGATGGTAAATTTGCATATACAGATACATACATATATTGGATTGCTTGGGTAGAACTGTTCATGATCTTTTGACAACAGTATAACACGCGCATGTGATAAATCATCTACTAATAAACAATTACGTTACTTTTTTATTTGTAATTTCATAGTTATGCTTAATTCCAATTCCAGCCACTACTAATGTTATAATCTTATTCTATGTTGAATCGGTAACATTGGTAGCGACATGAAAATGGTAAGGGTCTTCTCGGCTCCAAAACCCCGAACACAAAGTCACATAAGATTCTAGGTCTATTATCCTGTACGTCATTTGTGGCTGTACCCTGTCTATGATCTGAATATTTGAAAATTGTTAATTTACCGACGGATGGTAACTGACATTCCAGAAATATAAGTCGATATTGATATCGATGATAATTTGATCGACAAATCGGAAAACGAGAGTTGGTATCAATAAATCGAAATAAATTTCTGAAAGCTGTCGCGTTATTGATGCACAATTGAGAATGCTCCTTGAGCTCTAATATTAGTTGCCAGTTGAATTGCAATCGTGCAATAAACATCTAACCCATAGCCAGGCATGTATCAAAATTAACAATGAAACCACGTGACGTAAGCATTGTTAGTATATTCATTGTAGTATAAATAAGTAGTAATTCGAATTGCGCAATTTTTTACACACCAAAAACATCTAAAAAATGTACTAAATTCCAAATTACATTGACATTCGTACAAACTAACAAATTTTTCAATTACAAGAAAAATTAATTTTGAAGAAATTCACTTTTTTTAACATTCAGTTATTAAGTCATTTCATTAAGTGCGACAACGTATATGAGAAATTAAAGCTTTTCGAGTCAGGGTTATCAACTGTCTAACTTATTTATGATTAAATTGGATATACGCGTGATGAGTGACCCAAAAAATTTCATTTCCGTAAGCAACACGATAAAAAATTATCTAAAGTTTTCGAACATTCTCGTGCTTTTGAAACATTGTCATTTTTCTCCATCGATCTTTTCAAATATCATAAATAGATACCCTCCAAAATTCGAAGTAAATATAGTGCTACGCTTTTCAAAAAAATACAATTGTTTTCCTACAAAAAAATAAAATTTGTACGAAACTAATTTACCTTATATACATACGTAAAACTAACGTTTCAATCTTCAAAGATCCAAATAAATTCGTTAACAAATTTTAACGCGTAATTATTAGCCGCGAATCGTTCCAAGAGAATTACGAAATTTTCTATTGATCACTATTTTTAACGTCACGATGCATAAAACACTATTCTCGGTCCAATAATCTGACACGACGCACTTATCGCCACGACGATGACAGTACACTCTAACTAGCCAATTAAAAACACCGGCACTAATGAAAGTTCCGTTTGCACGAACAAATGGAATGGAAACACTTTCAAACGGAAAGTAACTAGCTAGTTCGTTCAGCGTCACGGAGGAACGCGCGCGAATTCGCGGTTCGACTCGGTTTTTAAACGCGTACCACTTGGTAATGACGTGTTCTGCTTTACTTATTTGTGCACGCTTTTGTTCAGAAGCAGGGAAACATTTCTTAATGGCTGTGTCAAAGGCCGAAACAACGAGGCTTACTAATCATTGCCACAGCTGGAAAACAAATAGTCACCATATACCAACCGCTGTATAAATTACACTGTTTTGCACGAATACTTGTTTGTACCAACACAACTGAGATTAAAGAATTCCAATACTAGCACTGTCAGAATCAAAACAAGTTATTTGTATTTCTTTAAACTAGTAAATTTAAAATAATAAAAATTATGAAATTGATCAAATGTACAATTATTTTAAATTAATGTATTCGCCGGTGATACGTAAACAGGAACTTTTTCAGCGTAATGTTGCGTAATTTTATGTAACGTAAATTATAATCGATTATGGTTATATCGATTTATACTGACGGTCGATAAATGTGATAAATAATTCATATTAATATATTTAAAAAATAAGACGGCTCAAATGATTGATATTCGAGAAGCTGTTAGGTTTCTAAATATAAATATATGGTTTTAAGCAGCGTGAAATATAATTTACGGCTGACCTTGACTTTGATCTCGAGAGGATCGAGAATCGTCTGATCGAAACGGCCATTAAAGCCGATAACAAAATACGCAAAATTGTAATCAGAGCAAAATTCGATAGAAATGGGATAAAAATGTTAATGCAAGGAAATAATTAGTGATAAATATTTTTAAAAAATTAGTACACAACTTTTGCTTTTACTTTTCATCCCCACATTTCCTAACCTTCACAACAACACAGCACGTATCCTTCAAAACATCTAATGGATGAAAATATGCAAAAATTATTCCACTCCACACAGTATCATTTGAACAGCCTTAAAAAAAGCACTTAAAAATTCTAAATTCAATAATAATTAGAAGATAAGAAGAAGAGAGCTAATAAAGACGATTTAAAATTATATTTTAAATATTGTTCACCTACAGTCTGCTCTCTCATTGTTCCCACGAAATTCGACTATACAATCCAGTGACACGTGGTACGAATATCTTTCAAAGCACAACTTAAATGGCCGCCGATTTAAAGTCGCATGCGTTGAAAACGATAAAGTGACTCACCCATCGTCGAAAGCGGCTTTTTATATCTAAAAAAAGCTCACTACACACAAAAATTCATTCACAAAAAAAATTTCAACGGTTCATCAAGCACCAACAGGTGAGAGCGGCCGCGCGCGCGCATTTACCGACGATGGACAGTGAAATTCCTTGAAAGCATCATCGCACGCGATGTTATCCCACTGCTAATTCCACATGCAGCCATTTTACGATATCACTTATGTAGCGGAAGAAAGCAAGGTGTGGCTCGCCTCTAATCTATTCCAACACACAACACGTCAACCTAATCCTTCTATCGCCACCATACTGAATAAAGAACCTGTTGAATTTATTTGGAGCAAAACAGAGTTCGGGATAGCTCAAAACGAAATTGTAGACCTGCTGTCCCCCTATCTACCAATTTTATATCCTTGTGAATGACCACCTATAAATCCTCGAGGGTCACAACCGCTTCGCTGCCTTTCGAGAGGCTGCGTTGAACTAATGCAACCGTAAGATTCAGAAAAGTACGACCAGTGATGGGTTCGAGCCGTACGATGAAAGTTTTTAGATTGTTTCAGTGGAGAGATAATGTTCTAGAAATTCCTACTGAGTCATTCTAACAAATTTCAAAGTGTACCTAACCTCAAAATGAGTATTCTAACCTATTAAAAACAGCATTAATCTGTTAACTAGATTCAGTAAGAATTTTAACTAGTATCTTTATTTGTATCTTTGTGAACATAAAGTGGGAGATCTAGAAGCAAATAGATTATTACGTTCTAAATATTGGTCATTCGTCATTCTTAATTAACAGATTAGAAAGTATTTGAAGGTTGGTTCGTCTATCACTGTGAAATTAAGTTAGTCGAGAACTGTCGAAACAGAGAAAACAGAGTGGCCATCGCTTGAAGGGTCAAAGGGAGGGGGTGTAAGACCAGTGCGGATGTGGGTGCACGGAAGGGGGGTACGCAAAAGAGCGGGGAAGGAGAATAGGGAGGATAAATGCATAAGTGTGTGCATTTGCGCTTGAATCGTATCGGCGCTGCCGTCGTCGTACGGGCAAACAGCACACACGTATTCACGCAGCCCAGGTACGCAGTCAAAGAGCATGAAGAAACGAACACTAAAGACGACATGGCTCCTATCCTTGAGAATACATACTTCATCAGAAATTGCGTCGTTCCCTTTGTCCCGCGTGACGCGTGGTTCCAGGCTTGCCGCGGACATCTTTTTATCGCGAGACAGAGAAAGAACGAGAGACAGAGAGAGAGGGACGAGATTAAAGAGAAGGGACAAAGCGAGACGACCAGCCGAGGCTAGAGAGTAGTTAAATCGCAGTTCTCACAATAAAAGCCGTTTAGTCGACCGTACAGTTGAACATGTGAATTTCAACGAGTATTCGATAAAAATAGTTGTGAATGTGCGGCGGGTAGCACGATTGCGACACTTACCAAGAGCTGTTGCGGTGTAGCAGGGCGCAATATGTCAGCTGACTTGACGTGTGACCGATCGTAATCCTACACCAGTATCCGACATAATTCTCAGCGGAGCATCCGGCTACCGTCGGTCACAAATCCGGTTGATTTGCTGTTGAACGACGCCGCGACCAGCACACTCACTAAACACAGGTGATATACAACGATTATCTGGCCGAACTAGCCCTTGCACACCAAACTTTCGATTACAGCATACAACGAGCGAAGTTGCAGCCACGGGAACAAATACTGCCGATGACTGGTGTAAAGTTAGATCTCTTACCCTCCCCCACTCCGCATGCACGAAATATTCAGTAGCCAGGGTCGACTGGCTAGAACGGGAGCTGTACTTGGTTAGGTTTATTAGACACCTTGCTTTGCCGCTAGGTAGCGCCACTATCATATAATAAAAATGTCGTTTCATGAGAATGGGTACTTAATGATGAAGAGTGTTATGGAAAAATATACTTTTCTTTTTCTATAAATTTTAATAAAAATTGCGCTAGAATCATTTTAATTGTATAAAAATTTATACATTATATATGTTAAAATGGTATACTTGGAAATCAAATAATACTGAATTTGTCAATAAAGATATGTATCTTGATAAAAAATATTATTTGATTTCGAACTATCTTTCTTGACATAAAGTTATTCCCAAATTATTGTACAAGCAATTTCGTTTTTAATAAGAAAATTCATAAAAATAAATGATTGTTGATGTGTGAGGTTATATGGTGTGCTAAACATTTATCATTTATAATGGAGAATTTCTATTATCTCCCATCGCGTAGCTAATTCCACAAATTATTAATTTTATCTTTCATTTAATTAATTTTATGAAATATACTTGAGAAAAGTAGATGAATATTTTAAAGCAAAGTAAAACGATATTTTCTTGAAATTCACCAATCACATGTCGGTTCTCTTGAAAAAAGTACATTACGATTGGCACACGATGCAAAGCACTTTCATTATATTAACATGTCAGTGCATATTACATTTGCCGCTCAAATTGGTTAGCTTACCTGTTCAAACGTTCGTGAGCGTTTTTTTTTTCATCCATCAAATGCAAATTAATGCAACTTCCATCCGACAAATGTACCCGCGTGAAAATGAGCCCTATTTGTTCAGACGATTTTCACGCTCGAAACCAAAAGAAATTCGTAGCAGAATGCTTTGAAAACAAAAAACATATGTAAAAAAGGATTTTCGGACTGAATAGTGCGGGTGATATAACCACGTTGGTTATCGTTTGCAACAAAATACGGCGGAATCGTGAAAGATGATGAACACCCCCCAATCAAATAAAAAAAAAGGCAGGAGTAGAATTGGTATCAACAACGATAGCACCAGTCCCGCGAACACTGAAACGCTGACCACGCAGGAAACATCGAAATTTGTTTTGGTACGGAATATGTTTTAATTAGTACTGAAAAATGGCAAACATATAATTAAACAAATCTATACGGTCTTTCAAATGTACATATAAATCATAAAAGTTAAATTATCCAAACGATATCCATTTTTATTTATGAGTGAAAATATACTGTACCTTTTCAATTAATTCTTCCTGTTTAATTTTTCCTGAATTTATGATAGAACATATGCAGTTTAAACAATTTTGTGATCATGTTGTTTATATTTAAGGTGAATCCTATTGGTGAAGATGCAAACAAAACATTCAAAATTGGAATCACTGATTCAATACCTATTATTTCCTTAGAAGGAAATGATTTTGATGAAAAGAACACGGTTCAAAAAGGACACACTGTGTTATCAGATAAAGATAAGGAGGAGAAGAATATCCTCAACAGCTTACCAGTAGCTATGGTCAAAGAGATAAGTGGATATGAACAGCAATTAGGAGAAGCAGAACCACTTCCAAATTCTTATATTAGATTTATGGAACGCAGTGGAGAAGAACTTGATGGTACATAATTTTTTCCTGCATCTGTAGTACATTTGAAATAATGATGTATTTGTATTTATTTTTCTTTTTTAGGAGAAGTAGAATACGATCTGGATGAAGAAGACACTGCATGGTTGACCATAGTAAATGAAAGACGATTAGCTTCTGGACTCAATCCACCTTTGGAACCTGATACATTTGAATTATTAATGGATAGGTTGGAGAAAGAATCATATTTTCAGCAACAAAGTAATGGTGGTGGAGGAGTAGCAGCTGATGAAGATGCAGTTTGCTGTATTTGTATGGATGGAGAGTGTCAAAACAGTAATGCCATACTATTCTGTGATATGTGCAACCTTGCAGTTCACCAAGATTGTTATGGTGTACCATATATTCCAGAGGGACAATGGTTGTGTAGGAGATGTTTGCAAAGTCCTTCTCGAGCTGTTGATTGTGTTTTATGTCCAAACAGAGGTGGTGCTTTCAAACAAACTGATCGTCCAGCTACCTGGGCTCATGTTGTATGTGCTTTATGGATACCTGAAGTAAGATTCGCCAATACCGTGTTTCTGGAGCCTATTGATAGTATAGAAAGCATACCTGCTGCACGGTGGAGACTCACATGCTGTGTGTGTAAACGTAGAGGATCTGGTGCTTGCATTCAGTGTCACAAAAGCAACTGTTACGCGGCGTTTCATGTGACGTGTGCTCAGCAAGCTGGTCTGTGTATGCGTATGAGAACAGTACAACCTGCAAATGGAGAACCAATGTTAGTTCAAAAATCCGCTTACTGTGAGGCACATACACCAGCAGATTATCAACCTTCCACCAATCCTGCTGATGCGAGAAGGAGGGCAATCGCTAATAAAAAAAGCTCTTCTGCTCCTGTTATCTCTATTCCAACTATACCGCCAGAACGTATTAAGGAAATTGCAAGGTAATAAATATAGAAAAATAGAATTGCTTTGAAATAAATATAAAATAAAAAGAAGTTAATTTGATTAATGTTCTGTAATATTAATTAGCTTAGCTGAAGGATTGCCTAAACGAAGCCAATTGATACAACGTCTTATAGCATACTGGACTCTGAAACGTCAATACAGAAACGGCGTTCCACTTCTTAGAAGACTTCAGAGTTCTCATCCACAATCCAGACCACCGCCATTGGGGGAAAACTCTTCGCCGCCACCAGACAGCGAACTACGCGGAGAACTATATCGTCAACTGAAATATTGGCAGTGTCTGCGTCAAGATCTCGAGCGGGCTCGATTACTTTGCGAACTAGTTCGAAAACGCGAGAAATTAAAGAAGGAACTGTTCAAAGTGTAAGATTACGAAACAAATTTATAAAAAGAATCGTGCAATTTGTACCGTCAAAATGTGAATATCTAATCTGGTCTCTTAGGAAAGAAAAATGTTTATGGTTCGAGTTGCGTCCATTAGAAAGTATTCTGCGCTCTTTGTTGGAAGCAATTAAAATGAAAGATGTGAACGACGTGTTTGGACAACCAGTGAACACTAAAGAGGTTCCAGATTACCTGGAAATAGTATCACATCCCATGGATCTCTCTACAATGCAGGTAATCCATTCGATAAAAAATTTTCCGGCGCAAGGAGCATCTAAATCACACTTTTTATTTTTCAGGTTAAAATAGAAAGACAAGAGTACGATACCATTGGAGCTTTTGAGGCAGATTTCAACCTTATGGTGAATAACTGCTTGGCCTACAACCGCAAGGATACCATGTTTTATAGGGCTGGAATAAAGATGAAGGAACAAGGTGGTGCTCTGATAGAGCAAGCTCGGAAGGATTATCCTGAACTTGATCCCGTTGGGGAGAACGAACAAACGGGATCCAAATCCAGAAAGAGGGACCGTGCCAATAGAAGTCGCGGAGAAACAGAGTTGCAGTCTGGGGAGAAAGAAATAGGCGGAGGAGGTGTAAACAGAAGAACAGCAGTTCTGTTCACACGCAAGGCGAGAGCACGAGCTAGCAGGAGCAATCAGATGTTTGTCTTAGAGGATGATAAGAAAAAACAGAGTGATAGTTTCAAGGTGTACAGGTACGTATTGTCCCCCTTTCCCTTTTGTATACCTTGACAAAAATGATCAATGCAACGAATATTTACAGAAGCGGAACAATGGACAGCGACGTGGGAGAAGGTGAAAGTCAATCTTCGAGTTGTAGTAGCTGTTCAACGAGCAGATCCACTACTCCCGATTTAGAAGAGCAGAAACAGAGGCAGCAGGAGGCGGATGAGGCGAAAAAGGAGTTGGAGAACAAGCAGGGAGCAGCCAGCAACGGCCTGGAAGCGCTGCAGCTCGTATGGGCCAAATGTCGCGGTTATCCATGGTATCCGGCTCTCATAATAGACCCTAATACACCTAGAGGTACTGTACACAAAGGTGTACCCATACCAGCGCCGCCTGACGATGTATTAGCACTCGCCGTTAATTACAAAGAACCAGTATTTCTTGTTCTGTTCTTCGATACCAAACGGACATGGTAATTTTATTTCCCCACACTCAGTTATGGCAATTATACCCTCCCTTTTTCTGGACAGTGATAAAAAAGATGATGGTTATGTATAATCGTTGCAGGCAATGGTTACCAGGTGAAAAGTTAGAAAAACTGGGAGTGTCTCAGGAATTAGATGAAGCGAAGTTGATTGAATCTCGAAAGCCCGCTGACAGAAAAGCTGTGAAGAAAGCGTACCAGGAGGCGCTTCATTACCGGGTTTGTAAGTATGTAAAAAGAATTTTAACGTATGGATACATTGTAACTTATATAGATTTATGCTTAAGTCGCACTTTTTCAGAATTCTATTTATATTTTTAAATAATGAGTGAGATGAAATAAAAAGAACCATTGTTTATATAACATTTTTCCATCGTTCATTTTTTTATCGTGAGAAATTGTATCTGAATACATATATATATATGTTTTTTTTCCTTCAATTTGTATATGTTCAGCAAAGAAGAATATTTTCCATTGTGCGGGTCACTTATTGGTTTGATTTCTCGTCCAATTTCTCGTCCAATTTCAAGTTCTTCTTTACGTATTCGTTCAGTTCTTTGGCATACATGTCCATTCTCTGAGTCATCTGAAATTAAAAAGAAAAGTGTAGAAAGACCATTTAATGCTCAATACAATAAAACTTAAAAAATATTAAATAAGAGATAAACTTGGTATTATTAAGGATTTCAGCTTACTCTCAGACACCAGAAGTCCTTCATCTGGCGACACAAGTTGAGATCCATTTCGCAGACAAGAAGACCGTCCTTACAACGACTCAAGCCAGGAGTTCTAGTACCATCAGGAGCAGTAATGTAGCTGGACCCATAGAAATGTCCGAAATCATGATGTGCTGCAGCACCATCTCCAGATGTAAATTCATTGGGGAACATCTCAGTTCCAACACGGTTGATGGCACAAGTATAATAGCTGTTTGCTATGGCTGCACATCTTGCTTCGATGGGCCATAGTGGCTCAGATGTATGACTGGTGGTTGCTGATGGGTTAAATACAATCTAAACATAGAAAATTTATACTTATTTTATAGTACTTACGAAAACGAACAAAATATGTGTTCAGTTATGGAATAATTTTACCTCAGCACCATTCAGCCCAAACATCATCCAGTTTTGGGGATGATGTCGACCGTAACAAACATTAATGGCTATACGTCCAAAACAGGTGTCGAATACAGGGTGTCCTGTGTTGCCCTCCATATAGTAAGTGGACTCGTTAAAATCGCCTACGCGTGGAATGTGGTTTTTACGGTGTTTTCCCATCACTTTTCCGTCATTGTTAATCACTACAGAGGTGTTCCACAGAGTGTCGCTGTTCATGGAGTCTCGTTCTATAATTGGACAAATTATGACCATTCCATGTCTCTGAGCGAGTTCAGACATGAGTATTATGGTGGATCCATTCTTAGCATCCTCAGCCAATTCGCACCATGGATATTTCTCTCTGGTGCAGAAGGCAAATGGCATGGCTACAACATATTTTAATATTTTTTTTATCCAAAAATTCTTCATTATCCTTCTTTACATATAAAATTGTTTAAAATTGTTGACATTTATATCTTTGAAGAAATCTATTTTTCTATTCTTATTTAAGCTTCTTAAACTAATTTAAGACTGCGATTACGTAATTCTATTTGGAATTGTAAATAGTGGAAAATACACGCGGTTTCAATGTGTACTACTTAAATAGCATACGGTAACATTCGAATTGTACAATTTTGTAATATTCGTATTTTAGAAAGTCTAATTTCATTGCTTTTGGAGCACCGTGTAGATTCAGAAACAGACCCCAAGCCTCTTGGAGACAGAGTATGTTGACGCCACAATTGGCAGCATGGTCGACGTATTTTTGGATTTTCAGGTGCAAAGCGTTTCTTTGCTTCTGCAACGGTTCGGTTGTAGGTAAAACGATACAGTTTTGAATTAAACCGACACGAACAACGCGTGGAGGACGCAGTTGCTCCATGGTGCCACCGCCCATAATGTACCCTTGGACATCGAGGTCCTGATTTCCTTTCCATTCTGGGAGATCTAAGGCCCTAGAAGCAATTTACAACAATTATTAATAAAATAAAATATACAATGTCAATATAATTATAGATTAGGAACGAAGTCAACTTCTATATATAATTTTCCTCATTTAAAACACATAAAATATTAATTTAGCTATTTTTAAGCTAAAAATTTCGTTTAAGAATTCCTCGCAAGAAATAAACATAATTAAACAGTTTTAACACTTCTGAGGAATTCTCAAACACCCGATATACGCTTATGAAAATACGCACAAAGCTTGCGCGATTTTTTCCATTTGGTATGAATACGCCTGAATCCCTTAAAATTCTAATCTAACAATTTGTATTGAAATAAGTGAAATTTAAATAAATTAAAAAGAAATAAATCGAAATAAGTCTTACTCTAATTCACGACCATATAAGAGACGCTTCACCTCGGCCAACTCCTTCTCTGGTAGATTCTTCTCCAGAATGTCTTCAAGAGTTTGTTCAAACATCGGTTTGTTCATTTTGAACCGAGAAATTCACAATTTACGTCGCTATTGGAGCTGCTACTGTACGTTACCACGTTTCGTCGCAGATTGTGAGTGGACATGAATTTCTACGGGTATATATTGACTACGCGCGTAAACACTCGTTAATCTTTATCAATGAACGTCTTTCGAATAACTTAAGTAGTTATCATCCAGCGGCAATAAATTCGTCCGAAACCCCCTTATCTTATCTGCTTGCACGATAAAGACAGACAGAGGGTTAATTAATTATTCTGGTGAAGATACGTGTTTATTTTCACCCGCGTGATATCTTGTTCAAAATTCGAAAATCGTGCGTGTAAAGTTCGCGACATTTCGTTTTTGATGGTCATTTCCCATGAACTTTCGATTGAAATACTTCAATGGCACCTCTATATGAACGAGAATTGCGTTACGTAGATGAAAAAGAGTGTATTGTTTGTCTTTGAATTGATACAGTAAAAAAATACTTTGAGTACCCATAAATAGTCGCAAGAATATTTTTTAATTCGATTTAATATCGAATTGCAATAAAAACATGATTAGAAAAATAATAATATGGAATTAAATGAAAGTTGTTGTAGTAGTTATTATGGTTACATTATCAAATAAGGTAAATAAAAGCTTACGGCTTACAATTAGTTCTCAACAAGATTCTTATATCAGTAAAATAAGACAACAAAAAAAACAATTACTCTTAAAAATTTTCCATGAAGATAAATGAAATACAATGTTTTTCCAAATAATCTTCCATGTTAAATGTTAATGTTATGGTGAGTATTTACACAAAGAAAAAATTTTTATTGATAGAGTATAATCAAGGTATCTCAACGCCTAATTGATTGTCCTTTAAAATAGTCCATTTACTGTCTACAACTATTTTATATCCTCTTATATATCGAACATTAATTTCCAATTTAATTTAAGCCACTTTTGCCTTCATTATAATAATCAATAAGCATACAAAAATAGAACTTCGAATAACAGAAATACATTCTGTATGAAAGAAATAGAAAATTAAGCTATCGAAATGGTATAATAAAAAATAAACATTATTCACTCTTTGAATTTGAATACGATTATCGATTTTTTTTTACTTTGTTGATCTCGACGGTAGCAATTACATATATATATATATCGATAACCAGTTATCGAAATATATATATATATCGATAACCAGTTATCGAAAACAATATCGATTATGTACCGCTTTTAACATACAGGATATGTAAACAAGCATAAGGAGAACTAAAAAGTTGAAAAATAGTTTCCCTTAAACAAAATTTATTTATTTACAGCATTAATTTGTTATTTATCATTAAATATGTTACGCAATTCGTAAAAAGTAATATTTACATACGTGGGTGCCTTATCTTCTATTTTTAGGTTAACTTTAGTTAACCTAAAAGCTATATTTAGTAACGGTAAAAGATAATAATATTAAACAATATAAATTAAGTAAAAGAAAAAAGCAATCACAAAAATGGCACAGAATAGAGAACGGCGTGCAAACGCTGGTAGTAAAATGGCAAAATTACTGAATGAGGAAGAGGAGGACGATTTTTACAAAACAACTTACGGAGGTTTTGAAGAAGTTGAACAAGATCATGACTATATGTTAATATCAATGTATCAATTAATTAGAGCATTACAGTAGTGGAATCATAATCTTAATATTTGGTTTTATAGGGAAGAAGATGAAGCAGAAGACGAAGTAGATTCTGATTTCAGCATAGATGAAAATGATGAACCTATTTCTGATACAGAACAGGAGGGACCCAAGAAGAAGCGTAGATTGGTAACAAAAGCTTATAAAGAACCAAAAGTTCAATCACAATTACCACCTAAAGAAAAGAAAGTAAGGCAGCCAAGGCAGAGGCACTTCATAGAGAGTACAGGTGAATCTCTTTAAGATGAATGTGAAACTATGTGAAGAGGGATTATATTACAATTTTTTTAGAAAGAAAATCTATACGCCGTTCTACTGCTGCAAAATCAGCTGCAACACAGCGAAGACTAACTGAAAGAAATGAGCATCAGAAAAGAAAAACAAGAGTTATAAGACATGACACATGGAAACCTACTCAAGAAGAATTGTTAGAAGAAGCATTGCAAACTGAACAGATTAATGTGAAATCATTAGGTACAATTGACTAGTCTTTGTAAGAGTATAATGACTCTTCTTCCTCATTTGTTTTTATTATTTTCAGAAAAATATCAAAAGCTAGAGAATGAAAAGAAGAATACTAGAACAGTAAGAAAAGCACAAACTGGGCCTATTATTAGATACCAGTCATTAGCAATGCCTGTAATGATACTTTCTGAAGTGAATTATGATAAAGAAGATGAGAAAATTAATATTGAAGGAGATGACGAAAAAAGTATAAATTCTGAAAACAAAGATGGGACAACAGAGGAAAGGTAAAATATAACTATCACTCTTAAGAATATTGTTGTTAATAAAATACTGGCAATTCCAGCAATGTGACCATAAAATCAGAGAATGATACAAAAGTTAGGAAGAAAGAGTCTTCCAACAAAAGCAAATATTACTATGAACAAACAAAAGGATATTATGAAAGAACATTTGTCACTTTTGAGAATGAACAGCTATTTTCAGAAGCCTTTAAGAAACCTTCCATACAGAGACCACCAATGAAACCTTTATGTGCAATTACAAGGTGAATTATACTTTTGATATCTTTTTAATGTATAAAACTACTGATAAATTTAAATATTAAAAATTGTGTAGGCTTCCAGCAAAGTATCAGGATCCTATGACACAATTACCATATAAAAATGTCCAGACGTTTCGACTATTACGTGAAGCGTATTACCAACAATTAGAGGCTCGAACTGATATCAATGACACATCACAAAGTCCAGATTTACTGCGGTGGCTTGAGTGGAGGCAAAAGAATCATGGTGGTGCTCAGAGGAACACAGTACGTCTCGAACCAGCCTCGGCAATGCTCACATAGTCTTCAGTACGAAGCAATATTTTTACTTCTATTTTCATAGTATTTGAAATTTTTATTTCTTCTGGATTGGAGAAGTTCTAGAACAATTACTTTGTAAGATAAATCAAGCGAGCAAATACGGATTTACAGTAACAAAAGTATGTTGTAAAAATCGAAGAATTTGTAAATAATTGTATAATTTATTCACAAGTGCCGCGTCGAATTATTGCCTGTCTGTTGAATTCTGAGATTCTTTGTACAGTCTTAGAAATTATAACAAAATTGCGATATAATATAACTATTTATATAAAGTTGCAATGATTGAATGATTATCGTTATACTTCTTTCATTACACGTAACAAAAACGACAAAAATTCCAGTGCACTAAACGTGTACATGTGTGTTCAAAGCAAAAGTGATTTTTATTAATAAAATTATAAAGTACAAAGCATTGATTAATAAAATTACCGAGGGACTCGGCGATCCTTTTTTGTTTTTCTCGTATATATAGAATTAACGGAGAACAAAACTGATCTCGGTAACGTCTAAAAAAATTCATCGTTCTAAATATATATGTATATATCCCGTTCGTACAAATTCAGTTTATCGCAGGGAACTCAAAGAAAGATTCATGTCGAAGTTCCTTTCTAGTAACCTAACGAAATACAAAATGGAAAAAATAAAACAGGCATATACACCCAAATGGATAAAGTATGGTTATCGTTCCTTTTTTTTTCCATCGTCTTCTCGTTACTTTTATATCGCACACACCGCGTTGATACGAAAGTATTAATTCTTCGACTACCATTAGCCTCGAAAAGAATTCACATCTCGAAAGCTGATCGTTCCGACAGGGGAACATACCGAAAGTGGTTTGGTTCACTTCTTGCGTTAATTGTCTATAGATATGCAGACTTTCTAAACGTATTTCCCTTTTTCTCTTTATTATTCGTAACTCGTTACTTCAAAGAACAAAAAATTAATTTTCATTCGTTAAAAGATGGTACTTTAAATAAAATTCACAACGTTCCAAAAACACTAATGGTGGTCGCGTTTAAATTAACAGTTATAATACCGGAAGTATTTCCGTGTGCAACTTACGAATTAAAAAACCATTTATATTGTTAATAGTGTTCTTAAAAATAATATTCTTGGAAAAATATAATTTCACTTGAAATACTTCTAAATTATCGTCAATAATATTAAATCACTTTACATAGCCTGATTTTATTTTTTTAAGTTGAAACAAATATTGGTATATTTTCCCATGTAACGGTGCTAAAAGTTCATTTTTCTTGTTCCTCGGTAAGACTGACTCAACGATTGCCATTGCACGAACCATCGAAGCCCTCGCATAACACAACGAGGTGTAGACATCTCAATATTTCAACGTTTTACTCACTCTCTATTTATTCATCAAGATACAACGAGGACTTGTAACGATAACAGATTACATTGCGGCTACACACATTGAAGCAATACTTATTAGACGCCTAGAAAGTACGATATAATCTCGCAAATAGTGTACTTTCGTGTGTATCACTCACTTTGTGTTCTCTTTCTCTTGCTTCTGGTTTTTTCTAGGTCGGAAGAAAAAAAATAAAGTTCGAAAAACCTTCGAAAGCGCTTTTCAGAATGGGCAAGCTTCTTATTCGTAACTTCATGGACAACTCTACGGTGCAAATTCCAAAGCAGAGAGTGAGCAACAATAAAAGTGTTTTCAAGTCCAATTCGGCTCTGTGTTCTTTTGTTCTTCCTTGATTGCTTTTGTTAAGCTTCTTCTATCGTTCTCTCCTTGTTTTTTTTTCTTTTGTTTCCTTTATGTCGTGCACCTGTATACTTAACCGCAAGACTTCACGTGTTATAATATGGGCTGCCTCTGAAACACTTTGACCAAGTTTTGGGGATGTACACCACCCGTTGTAAGAATGAAAAAAGATTTACATAGAAATGTAGCACCACAAATGCTTCTCTTCTAAATTTCTAGGCTTAAACAATCATATCCTGCACTGGAACCTCTTCTGTCTGTATAATTGTCCTACTTAATGCATAGTTATTGCTCACATCCCTCTTCTTGCTTAACTTTCTTCGTAAGCTCTCTAAAGAACTTGCTCATGGAAGGATAAAAGTGTTAATCTACAAGATTAATTGTAAATGGTCATTTCCTCCCTGTAGTATACTGGGAATCCTCTTACAGAGATCATTTTGAGCATCCATGGGTACCCTTTTTCATTCCTGCAATTTGCAATATACACTCCTCCAAGATTTGACCAAGTATTTTAGACATGTTTTGCATAATGCTTATAAACCATTCGCTTCTACGTGTCAAGTAGAATAACACATGTATTACAAAGAAGCAGTAATACAACACTGACTTATTGTAACGTATCGGAGATAAAGGTATCTTCGTCCTTTGTAAATATTTCTAATGATGTATTTTGGGTTGCACGATCGTGTTTATGGTTTTATATCCAGCTATTGTGTATACGTGTCGCTAGATTTTCCTCGATCCTCATCAATTTTTTTTTTCTAGCGGAGAGATTATAGTAGATCTCTTTCCCAAATAATCCGAAGGAACTTGAGTGATAAATTTGTATAACCTTATTTTTTTTCCTTGCGTTTTCAGCAGCAGCAGGAGCACGAATAATAAAAGTCTATTCATTCCGTCATGATCGTAATGGAGTAATCAGTAGTGCATTGTAGTATACATATGTTTCAAGCGACTCTCGAGAGCAAAGATGTAAAAGTATACTCTTTTAAGTACGGCCCACAGAGGCACGCTCCGTCTACTGTAATATTATCCACTTTCATAAAAGCGACAGAGCCTGTGTATACTTCGTGTGCCTGAACGCCGGATTATTTGGGAAACCATTTTAGTCATGTGTATACTTATATTCGTAAATAGTCTTGACTCTTGTACTGTATGCACCTGTTACGTTTACCGTCGACCACTTTTCTTTTCGCCTCTGCCTCTTTGTATGTCCTTCTGCAAACATAAACGTACGCAATCACGGTTATTAATAGCAATATGCATTAGGCTTGGTGTTATTTTTATACCATATGTAATGATACATTGCGATTTTTCTTATGCTTGATGTAGAGAGAGAGAGAGGATAAATTATATGTATGTTATAAAATGTGACGTCGATTGACTGTTCACAGTTTCAGGGACATGGTCTTCTTCTAAAAGATTTCTTGCATTTTACGATCATTTTATTACATCTAGCGTTTATTTTAATAACAAAGTGTGAGAGAATGAAACAATAAAATGTATAAATACAGTTAAAATCCTATAAACCCTTTCTTTTACTTTGCTTTTAATTTAACATGATAATATATGTGTATATGTATGTATGTATGTATGTATGTATGTATGTATGTATGTATGTATGTCATTAAAGCAAAGATGTGCATTAAACGGTAGAAGAAAGAGTGATCTATAAATTCTTAATGTAATTCGTCGTCACAGCAGTCAATGATGATTGACATCAAATTCTTCATTTATCTTGAGGTAGTCATCAATGACCAATCTCAAAATAAAGCATACATAAAATATAAAGCATTCATGCAATCAGTGGTACTGCATAGTTGATTATTATTCAATATTAGATATCTCTATTACATAACAGAAAGAAATCAATCGAAATTCGAACAGGGATAGTGTCCACAAAAAAATCAGATAATCAAGTTGAGAAATAAATTGTCGCCAAACAAAATTATACACTACTACTACTAGTCTAAAGAAATGCATTGTAAAGTTTCAGCGTTTGTTACATGTAAAAAATGAAATACAGGGTGTATTTTTATACATATATAAATTCTCATAATGCGCTCGAGTAAAAGTAATCTGCGTTCTCAAATGCTGTAATTTAAAGCTATCAGTTCATAAATATCTCCTTAAAAATTAACAACTTTACAAGACCACGTGTTACATACGTATACATGTAGATAATATGTGCTATATAAAATATTTAAGAAAATAATACTGACGAAAATGAACGACTTGCTATATATTAAGTGGAATTGAATATAACATAAAGTCTTGAAATTTATAATTGAGAAGCACATTGTTCGTTGCTCTTCCGGCATAGATGAGTATTATTACTCAATGTATAATTAATTTAAACACTTGTTCATGGCTTAAAATAGCAACTTAAAAAAGGGGGAGCATCTTTCATTTGTAGAAAATAAATTTGCTTTGGCGTTATTAAAGTATGAATAGATCTGTTGCCGTTCGTAAAAATGTAGCACTTGAATTGCTCCTATAAAACGCAAAGTTTAGAGTTATGTATATATGCTGCAGAGTTATTCAGTCTATATTTTGTTCTAATTAATAGCTCTTCACGACACACAATGGAAAGCATTACTCTTACTCTGTTAAATAATTAATGTTAGAGGCTCGAATCTCATCGAAACGTGTAAACTATACACAATAAACTAGACAATTAGTAACAATCGTTGGAAGAAAAAATACATAATAAAAGTGTCTTTAGTAATATTTAATTTTGATGTATGTTAAAATTAACTCAATTTACAAATCAACTTAATATTTATAATTAACTAACCATAGTTTTTCTTATATTAAAACTATGCTATCGTACAAAGAATTATCCCAGAAACTTTCATATCTTTTTTTGCACGTTTTCTTTTCTTTTTCTTTTTTTTTTTTACTGGACCATAGACTAAATTTTCTTTTAGAAACTTGGTATTATTCGAGTGTACTTCCGTGATATTGATACTGTATTTGTGTGTACACACATTTTAAGCAGCAAGGTGAGTCACTGGCAGCACTGCTTACGCATTCCCTCTGAATTCATTGTTGGCTTCACGTCGATGGCTTCTACGTTTTGTGGCCGGATTGTATCACCTTCGGGTGGATCACGTATCTGTTTCTGCGATACGATTCTGTAGATTTCTGCAACAATCAAATACAGTGTCATCTCATATTCTTAAATAGTACTACACACTTCTTATCGAAGCGTATATAACGCTGTAAAATTACTCCAAAGTTTTTCTCTCGTTAAACTAAATACAGGTAGATTTCATTTTACGAATTCTCGCTTTACGAAATTTTTGGATTGAAATTTTTATTTTAAATTGTACGGAGAATCACGCAGTATGTAATGACGTATCGATCAGTTAGAACGAACTCCCACTTTACGAATTCCCGATTTACGAACGGTTGTTAAGAACCAATTAATTCGTAAAGGCAGGGACTACATATATAAGCGCTTAAATATATCTTTAAAAATAATTTCTGCCTTCTGGAAAAGTGAATGTAAGAATACCTTTACCTGTTAATATATTTTGAAATGCTGTCTCAACGTTCGTAGAATCTAAAGCAGAAGTTTCAATGAAAGACAGGCCATTTCTCTCCGCAAATGCTTTTGCTTCATCAGTTGGAACTGCACGTAGGTGCCTCAAGTCAGATTTGTTTCCCACCAACATAATGACAATGTTTTGGTCAGCATGGTCCCGTAATTCCCGCAACCATCTTTCCACATTTTCATACGTTAGATGCTTTGCAATATCATATACCAACAAAGCTCCGACTGCACCACGATAGTACCTAGAATGTACATTTAAAAAGTTACATTTTGTGATTATAGTTTTGTTATGCAAGGTAGTAATACTTTGAAGAATTAAACACTAAAATGGCAATAATAAGAGAAATCCATATACTATCTTTACAATATCAAAGTTCTTCGCTCTGAATATGAAAGAAAGCATTTTTTTGTTTCTTTTCAATGGATAATTTGAACTTACGCAGATGTAATAGCACGATAACGTTCTTGTCCTGCTGTGTCCCAAATCTGAGCTTTGATAGTCTTTCCATCTACTTGTATACTACGCGTAGCAAATTCAACTCCTATAGTTGATTTTGATTCCAAATTGAATTCATTTCTCGTAAATCGTGATAACAGATTACTTTTTCCTACTCCAGAGTCACCAATAAGAACAACTGAAATGACATAATTGTTTTATTAAATAAATAATCAATAATGAACTTATTTAAAATAATTAATTTTCACATGGATTTAGGATCTCAAATTGCTAGGCTTTAATAACAAAAAATTACTTATCTTATAATTGTAAGT